GAGAGAGCTCTTGACAGAAACTGCTCTTTTTCAAGAACAGCTGTGCCAGAGTTATGGCTTGCCCAAGGTCATCCAGCCAGGTGCAAGTGGAGGAGTGGGGAATCAAACCCGGTTCTCCCAGATTAGAGTCCGCGCACTTAACCACTACACCAAACTGGCTCTCATTAGCCACCTCATTAGCCACCTGAGCCAAGTAATTCATGGCGAGGTGATAAATACAGAGGGGGAAATAGGGGCATGGGAACTGACGGAGATCAGTGAAGCCCTGTCAAGTTGTCTGCTTACTGTTTCCTGGGAACTGGAAGTGGAGGAAGGAAAAGGGGCTGCTGAAAACCACATTCGGATATACCGTACTGACTGCGAAGTCACCCCCTGAACAGCCATAAATCTATGCAGAAGGTACCATAAAACCCAATGAACAAAGGAAGTGAAAGCGGCATGCAGTGTAGAAGCTGTGGGAAAACTGTGAGGAAACAGGTGGGTGCAGAGTCAGCCCATGTCAGATTGAATATATGAAGCTGCCTTACAGTGAAACAGACCCTTGGTCCATTAAGGTCCGTAATGTCTACCCAGACGGGCAGTGACTCTCCAGGGTCTCAGGCAGAGGTATTTTAAAATCACCTCCTACCTGGTCCTTTAGACTGGAGATGTTGGGGATTGAAACAGGGACCTTCTGCATGCCAAGCAGATGCTCTATCACTAAGCCACAGCCCCTCCTATTGGACTCATGTCCATCTCCCTCAGTATTGTCTACTCTAACTCGCAGCAGCTCTCCAGGGCCGGCTCACCCGCTAGGCGAACTAGGCATTCGCCTAGAGCACGGGCTGGCCCTTAGGGCGTGGGAGGAGAGGCAGGGGCGGCTGCAGGACCCTGGCGCACTCCCGGCACTAGGAGCCGGAGGAGCGCCCTCTCCATGGAGCCAGGTGCCGTGGCGCCCCCTTGAGCCAGCCAGCCAGCGGCGGTGTTGTGCTGCCAGGAAGCACCAAGGTCCACCCTCCAAGGCCTCTGCTCCGCCTCCCATGCCCACCCGCCTCCCTGCCTCCCTTCCTTTCCACACTGCAGTTGGCCCCCCAAGGGGGGCCTCGGAGCCGACCTCTCACCTGGCCTCTGCAGTGCTGCACCGGCAGAGGAGGCACGGCGGGCACTTCGCCGGCAAGGCCCAGGGAGTGGGTGGCAAAGCCGAGCTCTGCCCCGAGGCGCTGCACGCCGGCTGGGAGGTCTCCAGGCCCCACCAGGAGGTTGGCATCTGCGCTCGCCTAGGGCGCAGGAACACCTCGGGCCGGCCCTGCAGCTCTCCAGGGCCTCTGGCAAAGAAAGGACTTTCCAAACACCTGTTATCCAAGATCTTTTCTCTGCAGATGCCAGGGCCTGAATCTGGGATTCCCTGCAGGTAAGGCTGTACCTGAGCACAGAGCCATGGCCCTTTCCTACGGGGGAAGTGCCAGCTTTCCTGGTTAAGTCAAGGCATTCAGAGGTTCAAGATGAACTCTGGGCTGCAACTTGGCAAAACACACTTCAAAGAGTACAGCCCTGGCCTGGCCAAATGTGGTTCCCCAGGCGTCCGGCTTTTGATCCCCCAGCATATGCACAGTGCTTTGAACGGTCTCCTTTGCTTTGCAAATCTCAGTGATTATCAATATCTTGCACATCCTGTGGATGGAAATCAAACAGTACTGGGGAATGGACCAATAGGTTGGCTGGTTGTTACTAGCACAAGCTGCCCTGTTATATAGCGGAAGAAGAAGTGAGAAGAGATTGGATTTATACCTTGTCCTTCACTCGGAGCTTACAAGCTCCTTCCCTTCCTCTCCCCACAACGGACACTCCGTGAGGCAGGTGGGGCTGAGAGAGCTCTTTCGAGGACTGCTCTCGAGAGAACAGCTCTGAGAGAACTGTAACTGGCCCAAGTTCACTTAGCAGCTGCACGCGGAGGAGTGGGGAATCAAACCCGTTTCTCCCAGATTAGAGTCTGTGCTCCTAACCACTACACCAAACTGGCAGGATGGTTCGAGCTGGACCTCATTTCTCCATAGCCCATACTCTATCATCCTCTCCCTTGACAGATCCTAGTCTCTCTGGTGCTACCGGATTCGAATCTAGCTCTCCTGTTGCAGACTAACATGGCTGCCCTCTGAAACATGACGACTTGACGTGATGAGGGAGGGGGAAGAATGAAGCACACAACTGCTGGTTTCCAGGGCAGCCACACATCCACCGTAACATCAGGTCCCAGCGTAGAAAATCACACATCTGTGAGATGTTACATTGAAGACTGTGGTTTGTAGAGTGAACCTGAAGGATAGAGCATCTGCTTTCCCCATATGTACCCCCAGAGAGTGCTGCAATCGGGGATCCAGAACTGGTTGGTCCTCCCAAGTATTAAGGAGGCCAGACTGGCGACGACCAGGGCCAGGGCTTTTTCGGTGGCGGCTCCATTTTGATGGAACGAGCTTCCAGAGGAGATCAGGGCCCTGTGGGACCTTCTACAGTTCCGCAGGGCCTGTAAAATGGAGCTCTTCCGCCAGGCTTTTGGAGCCACCACCGTTGCTATTACCACCACAACCACCACTGTTATTAATAACAACAACTAACATCTTCTGGTGAAGAGCCCTGACCCGCTGGACCCTCAACTACTGCCCGAGCCAATCCCCCCCCCTTACGATCTATGATGATTTATGACATCTGAAGCACGTCTCATGACATCCGAGCAGACCAATGAGGTTGATGTTGAAGAGCCTAGCACTTTATTATCAGATCTGGTTTTAAAAATGGTATTTTAATATTGTATTTATATTAATTACTGATGTTTTTATCTGTATTGATGGAATGTGATGTGCTTGTCAGCCGCCCTGAGCCGGCCTAGGCTGGGAGGGCGGGATGAAAATTTGAATAAATAAATAAATAAATAAAACAGACAACACTCACTCTCTTTTTTCCAAGCCCCTCGCACAAAACTTCAGTGTTGTGCCAGCACACACCACTTGCAGTGCGAAAGCGGAAGTGACTATAAGAAGAAGCATGGCTGAGACTCACCTAACGCGGCCGGTTTGCAGCATGGGCTCGGGAGGGGTCTGGAGGAGGCCTTCCTGCCCCTAGTCCGGTGGCTGGCAAAGGGGGAGCCTCAGGACACGGTGCCGGCTGGCCTACGCCATCCACGGGCCGACTGGGGGAAGCGCGGGAAGTTTTGGCGGGCTCTATGCAAGGGTGATGTAGATCTCGCTCGGTTCGATTTAAAGTGCGCTGCTCAGGGGCTCTGGTAACACAGTTTTTGCTTGGATCCCCACCCACCCTCCCCCTTATTTTGGGTTTCGGTGTGTGGATATTTTAACTGTTACAGCTGGATAGTTTTGCGCATCTGGCCGATCCATTTGGGGGAGAAGGGCCTGCCTGTCTGCCTCCCCCCTTTGGCGACTCTCTTATGGGGTCTGGGGGTTTGAGCCACCATGCGATATGCCCAGCTCAGGGGCTGTGCCCAAGCTCACCCCAGGTATCAAATGGCACCACGCAGAGGCAACTGCCCTTGTGAAACCAATAATATTTGTCACTCCTGCGTTCTCCCCAGCAGACGGGCTGTGGGATGTTTTTATCGAGCGGCAGGCGGGTTGCTCGATTGGCTAGGATCTGCCTCAGTGCTCCACCAACGCTCCTTGGTTTGTTTTTATTCCAAAAATATGGTGGTTGTGTGGTTGTGTTTCTCTGAAGACCTCTCCTGACTAAGCCCTGGGCCTGCAAGTGATATTGAGGTGATGCTCTAGTAAAGGTAAAGGTTCCCTTGCTCGAAAGCCAGTCGAATCCGACTCTAGGGTTGCGGTGCTCATTTCTGTTTCAAAGCCGAAGAGCCAGCGCTGTCCGAAGACGTTTCCGTGGCCATGTGGCCGGCATGACTAAACATCAAGGCGCATGGAACGCTGTGACCTTCCCACCGAAGTGGTGTCTATTTATCTACTTGCAATTTCTTGCTTTCGAACTGCTAGGTTGGCAGGAGCTGGAACTAGAGATGGGAGCTCACTCTATCATGCGGCACTCGGGTCTCGAACTGCTGAACTACTGACCTTCCACAGCCTGCAGTTCAGCGTCTTAACCACTTGAGCCACCGCAGCTCCTGATGCTCTAGTATTCACCCCAAATTCTATGGTTAAACCATAGATTGCCACCCACAACACACTGATGTCCCTTCCAGTTTTGTGCTGGAAGCGATGTCGCATGTTGGCACCACACCAACTTGCCCCCTCTTTCCTGTCCACTTTGTCAAGTAGCAGGGGGCAACAAGGTGCCTAGTCCAAGAAGTCTCCTGCTATTATTCCCCCCATGTTACCTGAGGCCAGGGGTCATTTCCTGCAGGAGCGCACAGGAGCAGTAAGGGGTCCAGGGGGCGGGCACATGCAACAAGCCCCTCCCCCTGCTCCCAGAAGCCCTCAGTTGGGCCACAAGGAGCAAGAAGCAGCCAGGTAAGCTGCAGAGCCCCCCCCATCCTGTCTTCAAGTTCAAGCTCCCCACCCCCCATAGCTAGCAATCCAAAACAGTCCAGTGGAGCCTGAGCGGTGGGTGTTGCCTTCTGACACACTTCCGGTGATGGCAGGGGGTGTGGCATATGCAAATAAGCTATGCTAATAAGTTATGCTAATGAGCTCCTGCACCTCTTTTTCTACGAAATGACCCCTGGCTGAGGCCAGCATTGACCTAGTTTGCCTTCTCAATGGGCTGCTAGCTTTCTAGAAGCAAGGTTTCTATAAGATCAAATATGTGCCAAATGGTTTGACGTTACAACAGAACCATGCCTGTATGTCAAGAAAGTCTTGACATCAGCCTTCTCCCTGATGTGCTAATTTTCTAAGTGCTGGGAAGTGTTTTGTGTACGCTCCATCTTGGGTGCCCCCCCACCTGTAGTGTGAAGCAGTACAGCAAGACACAGAGGTGACCAACTCAGTGAGAAGTACACCTTAATTAGGAGAACCTCAGTGTTCTGTAAGAACGTAAACCGGATGGATTAAGAACAGTACCTTCTTGAGATCATGCTTGGGTTTCCCAGATGGCGAAAGGGTGGTGACTGCAAAATTGTTCGGGTCTTCACAGTCACGGATTTTTGATTCCTTGATCAGAGAGTCCAGTTTCTTCTTTGCGATATTCTCCACTCGCTTCCGATTGGAAGAGGCCTACAAGTAGGAAGAACTGGGTGAGCATGCACAGGAAGCAGGAAGCCTCTTTTTCCCCCATAAAGGGCGCCCAACATCTACTACAACAGTACAGGAAGAAAGAAATGAAGAGACAATGAAAAACAAAGGTAAAGGCTCTATGTCTGCTCCAAACCAGACTACTGAAGTACCTCATGACACTAACAGAACAGATTATCCCACGGGACATAACTGTGCCAAAACATATATTTGGTTTCATTTTAACTTCCACAGCTCCCCACCTCCAGAAAAGAATCTTGGGAACTGCAGTTTGGTGAAAGTGCTTTGACTTCTTTGTTAGAGAGTTCTAGCCTCACAAAACTGCGATTCCCAGAATCCTCTGGGAAACGGGACTGAACGCTAAGCCAACGTCAGACTGTGAAGTAGATATGCCCCACGGTTTCTGCTGTGTGCAGTGAAGTATCATTCAAATCTGTTTGCTAGAATGATAATTCTGCCCAAAGTTGGACTTTGAACTACCCATGCAGTCCTTCCACGGGCAGCCATTTGGAAGGCTGTCTCAAATGTACTACCTCTGGCTGCAATGGAGTGAATTTTTTTAAAGTAAATACCAGTTAAAAAGTACATCACAAAACTTGAAAGGAACCAAAATGAGAGACAGAGAAAGAGAAGGAGAGGGGAAAATTAAAATCCCTACTGTTGACAACATCGATTTAGGTGATACATGCTTTGTTACCAAGCCACCGGCTCTCTTGCTGGAATTAACTGAGATAATGTTAGCATGCCCATTATTTGATTGTTCCAGTGCTGAAATCCTTTGCATGACAATCTAGTGTTATCCGTTAAATTTGGAAAGGCCCATAGCTAAACATCAGATGATGGGAATGACAGTTGGGGGTTAAGGGTACTTGCAGAGGGTGGGCATTGTAACTCCGCTTGGTTTACCAAAACAGGGATAGTCAAGGAGCAGGAGGGGAGGGGGTTGGCCTCCGTGCATTGATCAGGATCTTCGGCACAGAATTTATGCAAAAACAAGTTGTATGCGCAATCTGAAGCCCTGAAAAGGAGGATGGCTAGGAATCAGGATGCTACCGAATTTTCGCATCCCCAACTTTTCGGCTCGAATAATCCCCACTTTGAGAGCACTTCTGTCGTATGCAAATCTGTCGGCGTGTGGATTTGTTTGCTGTACATGTGCAGGTTGTATGGCTTTCCACACCTACAACACACATCATTTATACATATAATGGATATAGAATGCTGAATCACCGATAAATAATGTCAAAACGTGCATTCGTTTTATGTGGGGCAAATCCAGTTTGAAAGAGCACAAAATGACCTGGCAAATAAAGAACCACGGGCTTGAGTTGCACAAGAGAAAAGTGAGATTTGGGTCTGAGAATTCAGGAGGAAAACGGCAGCGTGGAGAAAAATGTGAAGCTATCCCTCCGCACGTAGGCCTGTCTCTGGGCTCTAACCTCCGGGGAGCTCGTCTTCTCAGAAGAAAACAGACCCTGTTTTCCTAATTGGCCTCCAAACGTAGTGATTAATGCTGCCAGCAAACAAGCTGTCATTTCTCCAGCTTTGGCAGTGTCACTCTAGAGTGGGGACAGTCAAATACATCTGGAAGCCCAGATGCTGCTTGCGGAAAACAGAGAACAAACCAGACAAAACAAATTACTGGCTAATGAAGACAAAGATGTAACGCAAAGGTAGGCCTACATCAGCCACTTATTCGGGAACAACCAAACAAACGGTGCGACGCAGCCCCAGGAGTCCGGGCTCTTCTGAGGGAACGAAGGTTCCTCCCTTCTGCGGAGCTGTGTGTCATCTCCCCCCACCCCCGACTTTCCTCTGAGCCTTTTTTCCCCCTCATCTCTCGCTGCCCAAAGTTGGTGTTTGAACTAAGCTCGGGATGTTTCAGACAACACAATTCAGATGGAGACAGGGAAACAGCGTCAGGGTTTAAGCTGGTTTAAGCATTGAGGGGATTTTCTTTAGCGTTTGCACTAGACATTGGGGGGAAAAACAGAATCCTCGTTCTGTACAAAAGAGCTTTGGTACTCCCCCCCCCCACCGAGGGAAGCTCACCTTCCCCTTCGCTAGTGTTCTGCTTATGATGGTAGTATAAAAAGGTAAAGGTTCCCTTGCTCGAAAGCCAGTCGAATCCGACTCTAGGGTTGCGGTGCTCATCTCCGTTTCAAAGCCGAAGAGCCTGCGCTGTCCGAAGATGTTTCCGTGGTCATGTGGCCGGCATGACTAAACACCAAGGCGCACGGAACGCTGTTACCTTCCCACCGAAGTGGTACCTATTTATCTACTTGCAATTTCTTGCTTTCGAACTGCTAGGTTGGCAGGAGCTGGAACTAGAGACGGGAGCTCACTCCATCATGCGGCAACTCGGGTCTC